CTTATACAGTTATTAAAAAGATAAAAAGCAAACACAAGCAACATACACTACATATACTTACAACTTATATATCAGTATGTGTATTTTATATGTACTGTAGGTACTGTTTTATGTATATAGTTTTATATATATATATATTTTTTTCTTCCTTTTTTTTTTTTTTTTGAGACGGAGTCTTGCTCTGTCACCAGGCTGGAGTGCGGTGGCGAAATATCAGCTCACTGCAACCTCTGCCTCCTGGGTTCAAGCGATTCTTCCGCTTCAGCCTCCCCAGTAGCTGAGACCATAGGCATGTACCACGGCGCCCAGCTAATTTTTTTGTATTTTTAGTAGAGGCGGGGTTTCACCGTGTTAGCCAGGGTGGTCTCCATCTCTTGACCTCGTGATCCACCTGCCTCGGCCTTCCAAAGTGCTGGGATTACATATATATATATTTTTTAATGTTTTGATAGCTTATACATATTTATATGTATTATACAAAGAAAAGAATATGCAGAAATCAAAATTATGAATGCTTGAGGGTGTTGGGATTGTATTCAATTTTGTTTTTAATTTCAAGAAAACAATTTCTCCTTGTGTTCTGTAGTTCTTTTTCTTCTATTCTTATCTTGCAAAAAATATTTACAGGGTGTGGAGTTCTCTTCTCTTCCCCGTAGAGATACTTTTCAAACTCCAAAAGTCTGCCCTCATTCTTTTTTTATCCTAAGCCAGGATGATCAATTGTCTTTTTTTTTTTTTTTGAAACGGAGTTTTGCTCTTGTCACCCAGGCTGGGGAGCAGTGGTGTGATCTCAGCTCACCACTGCAACCTCTGCCTCCTGGGTGCAAGCAATTCTCCAGCCTCAACCTCCCGAGTAGATGGGATTACAGGCACACGCCACCACACCCAGCTAATTTTTATATTTTAGTAGAAAGGAGGTTTCACGGGGTTGGCTAGGCCGGTCTCGAACTCTTGACCTCAGGTGATCTGCCCACCTCCTAAATTGTCATTTTTAATTCAATATTGTTAATATTGTTTAGGAAATAACTTGTTTTACTCTGAGATTAGGATGTACCCAGAAACAACATTATTAATATGTGTTTATTTTAAAAATATTTGATTATAATGTAATACATACAGAAAATCATATTAAGTATAAATTAAAAGTGTCAGAAATTATTACTAAAGCAGACACTGGCTGGGTGGTGTCTCACACCTATAATCCCCGAA